CCCTGCCTGTGGCTGCTGTCTGGAACCTCTGCTTGCCCAAAGGGATGGGGCTGGAATAGCATCAGCCTGCCGCTGAGGATGCCACTGTTATTGTGCTGGCGGCCCCTGAGCTGATTCTCCTCTCCTCACGCCCACACCACAGTCAGCACAGAACAGCACCAGCCCTTTCCCCTCCACTTCTCCCAAGGAGATGCCCAAGAATCTGGACTCCATACCTCTAAACTTCAGAGTGTGTAGGTGGGGACTCCTCAGAGTTTAATGTTGCAGGTGGGAAATATATACAGTTTTATATAGTTCAAACCTTTCCTCAACCATACACCTGGGGTGCCCCTTTGAATAGTCCTTGAGTGGTCTACCAAGTTTGAGGGGCCCAAATCAGTTGTCCCAGTCAGCACCCATTTCAGGTGGAAGAGTTCAAATGTCTCTGGGAGCGAGATAAGAAGGGTCTGCTTGCAGTTCAGATGTAACTTGCTCCAGTGCTCCGCGAGGGCAAAGGGACCCACCTGGCAAATGGGTTAGTCTGGGAAGGTTAATACCTCCTTCCCCACCTTGCACTCAGTCACTCGTAATTCCCCAGGTCTGTGGCCCTATTCACTCCAGTAGGCCACTGCTCCTGGGGTTTACCTGGCAAAATCAGCCAGAAATCTGAGTCTGGCAGGGGGGCCTTGAGTGTTTAAATTAGGCTTCTCTCTGGCTAGATTTCTCTGTAAATCAGAGGTTGCATTCAGCTTTACACTCAGGTGTCAATTCTAGCCTCTGCCGGCCCACTGCCTTTGTCTCAGCCGCATTAGCCCTCTGAGGGATGGCGCTTCACCCAAGAAAGTTATGTGTGCCCTGCCTGTGGCTGCTGTCCAGAACCTCTGCTTGCCCAAAGGGATGGGGCTGAAATGGCGTCAGCCTGCTGCTCAGGATATATATACAGTTTTATATAGTTGCTGCACTGGCGTCCCCTGAGCTGATTCTCCTCTCCTCACGCCCACACCACAGTCAGCACAGAAAAGTACCAGCCCTTTCCCCCTCCACTTCACTCAAGGAGATGCCCAAGAATCAGGATTCCATAGGTAATAAATCTCCAGACCTCAGAGTGGGTGGGTGGGGGCTCCTCGGAGTTCAATGTTGCAGGTGGGGAATATATACAGGTTTATACAGTTTTACAGTTTTATGCCTGGCCAGAGGGTGCCGTGGCACACCAGCAGGGGTAGGAGGTCCAGTTTTTAGGGGGTCTCTCCTGTGGGATAGAGTGGGAGGATGTTTGAACTCTGCTCGCTTGTTTGCATGGAGTAAACTGCGAACCCTTGTTGTGGGGGAGGGGACTCTAGTCTGCTTGGTGGTGGATTTTGTACATTTTGGTTGTATTTTTGGGGTCATAGCTTGCGTCAGGAAGGTTGAAGTGCACTCTTCAATCTTCTCTCTTGGCTCTGCTCCAAACCATCAGCTAATTTGCTAAACTTCTGTCCTTTCAGCCTCCTTCTGGACGGGAGCTTCTGTAAAAAGCTGGCTGCAGTCCGCCATCTTGGCTCCGCTCCCCTCGCCAATTCATCTTTGAAAGAGGCTGTACTATTTTTTTATATTCCCACTAGCAATGAATGAGAGTTATTGTCACTCCATATCCTCACCAGTATTTGATGTTGTCAGTATTTTGTATTTTGAATATTCTAATAGATATGTAGTGGTATCCCATTTTCTTTTTTAACATAGGCATTTATAAATTTCCTATAAATTTATAAAATTCCCTTTCAGCACTGCTTTAGCTGCATCCAGTACATTTTGGTATGTTGTGTTTTGTTTTTATTCATCTCGAAATATTTCCTAATTTCCTGTGTTATTTCTTTTTTGACTCATTGGCTATTTGGAGCTTGTCATTTAATTTCAGTGTCTTTGTGCACTCCCAAATTTTGTTCTGTTATTGATTTTTAGTTTTATTTCATCATGATCAGAGAATAAAATTAGATTACTTTGTATGATTTTAAAAATTCATTGAGACCTGCTTTGTGAGACAGTATTATCTTTGCATAGAGCTTTCTTTGATACCTTCTTGGCAAGCCCACTTGGATACCTTAAAAGAACTTAAAACCAAAACGCACAAGATCACACCCTCCTCTTTCAGTATTCTTCTCTCATGGAAGGCTTCTTGATTCCATGAGTTGCTCTGGCCTGAAACCTTAGATCATCTTTCACCTTTGATATGTTCCTCTGCCTTTCTCCCTAAATCTGATCCTTTACTGAGCCCACGTATTTTGCTTTCATAGCTTTTTTGAATCCAGTTACTTCTTTCCATCTCCATGGCCATACTGCAGTAAGTTATTGTGTGTTACAGAAACTACTGTCATTTTCCTTAGCCCAACCCAGTGGCTCTCAACCTGTGGGTTGCGACCCCTTTGTAACAATGAAAATACATTGTGGCATTAGGAAGGTTGAGAACCACTGGCTAAACTATCATCGTCTTTATAAGAACTATCTCATTTTCCTACTGTTTTCCCAACCTCTACTTTTGCAGCATAATAATTTTTTGCATAGCACCCAGCTTCTATGTTGAAAATGTACTGATCTTGTTAACTCTCTGCTTAAAATCCCAATGCATCAGGAAAAGACCCCTAATCCCACCATGGCCTGCAGGCCTTGCATGGTCTGGTTTCTGCCATTCTCTGTAGCCTCATCACATCCCTTTGCTCTCTGCCCTCCAGACACATAGGCCTGCTTTCAATTCCTTGGCTGCCTCATCCTCTCTCCTGCCACAGGGCCTTTGTACATACCATCTCCTCTGTCTAAAACTTTCTTCCTCTTCTTCTCTTAGTGAAATCCTCTGTATCCTTGAGATATTTTTCAAGCTTCACTTCCTCTTGAGGAAGGTTTTCTCCACTAGAGCCCTAATTATTATACATTTATTATAGATTTGTTAGTATGGTTCCATGATTAATGTCAGTCTCTTGTAGAATCTGTGAGAAAAAAATCCTATCTGTTTAGCCCTGGCCTCTGTCACAGTGCATGGGGAGAGAGGGCTACAATGAATGTTTGATGAATACAAAGACCAATCCCTCATCCTAGCCTCTGCTTCTGCCTGGGGTGCTGCCCAGCCATGCTTCAGAGCAGAATCCCAGCCACACTCACCGCAGGGTCTCCAGGTGGCAGCAAGGACATCTCAGGGTCTCACTAAGACTCTGCACTGCAGAGCAGCTCAGTGGGTTTCCACTCAGGTCCAGCTCCTTCAGGTTTCCAGTGTCTTTAAGAATGGAGAACAGAAGCTGCCAACAAGCATCTGTGACTGGGACCTGCATGACCCTGAGGGAGGGAGAGAGGGATAAGAGACAGGTGTGCTGTGTGTGTGGGGTCTCTTGTGCACAGCCCTGCACAACACAGTGGGCAGTCTCCCTGAGCACCAAGGCCACTGTGGGTAGTGCCATCCCTGGGACTGGCCAGCCTCCTCGCCAGGCCCTTTGTCCCTACCACCTGGGCTTAGGGCTCCTCCTCTGTGGGGCTCCTCATTCTACAGCCCCCCCTCACCACAGGGTACTGACATGCTCATTTGGTGTATCTGTTTCTTCTGTGGCCTAGGAATTCCTTGAGGGTAGGGGTAGACACTTGTCATCTTTTTTATCGGCAGTGCCCAGCACACGACCTGGTACAGAGAAGGAGCTTGGTGATTTGGACAGTTTTCTACTTTTGGCTGCAGAAACATCTGTCATCATTTGGCACAGATATTCTAGACTCCCAGTGCCCAAAAAGAAAGAGATGGGAGGTGGACACAGAGGCTGGGAGAGGTGATGATGTGAGGGTGAGTTTATGATGGAAAGTTGTATGTGATCTTACACATACATACTGCTGGTTGACTTGCATGGGACTGTATCTCCTTCCAAGGACAGCAAGACCACAGAGAAGTTCTATGGAGGAGATGGCAAAGGGAACATCCTAGAAGTGGACATTTGCAGCTTGGAGGGGAGAGCATGATGGACTTTGAGAGTGTTGGAATAGATATTGCCTTTTATAATTTCTATCCATTTAATTTCTCCACTTTCACACACTGCTTTCATGACCTCATCTAATTCCCAGGATTCACCTTCTCAAGCTCTATCCCAAGTTTCAGAGTCACGTTTCTATTTTTTCCATATAAGGTCTGACCCTGCTTAGCTTCTGAGATCCAACCAGATTTGGTATGTTCAGGGTGATATGACTGAAAATGGATGTTCCTGTTTTCTGGTCAGATGGGTCCACTAACTTTTTGACCTAATGCATCCCAATATCTCTCCACCCTAAATTCATCTTCCTCCTAAGTCTGCAGAGCCATATTGGAGTGGGAGTGGAGTCCAGGGGACCAGTGCCTGCATGGGAGTGGAGGCCAGGAGACCAGTGCCTGCATGTCAGCTGCACTCCCCTGCCTCACTCAGTCTCCTCAGTGACAAAAAGAGACAAATTCAGTGGATTGCCACAGTGGGTTCCATGAGGATTAAAAAGATGTTACAGAGAATCCCAAACATTTTAAATTCAACAACTTCCCCAGTATAAATGCTACAAACATGTCCAAGAAAGCCATCATTTGAAAGTTTAATTATTTGTATTTCTTTTGCATTTATTTAGTTTTGTGAAACTTTAATTTTTTCTTTCAGTCCACATTTGCCATCTTTAATAAGGGTGACTGAATGAAAAAATTAAAAACTAGCTATACAAAATGCATGATGCGTCATTACACGCCTCCCACCTACCATTTTCATTTCCTTAATATCTCTGGTCCTCCTCTCCCTTCCCACAGCCTTCAGCCAGTCTTCCTTCTTTCTTCCCGGACTTTTTTGTTTGTTTAGAGTAACCCCTTAATGTTCTCTCTACATTGTCTAGTTCACTCTGTGACTTAAAAATTTCCCTTCTCACTTGCAGCTGAAGCCCCTGCCTTCCCCATGGGATGCTCTCCAGGCTCCACTTGCCACTGTAAGTCCCAAACTCCCTTGGTCTGGCCTGATGTTCCTGGTTCCTCATGCCCCCATGTCTGGCCTCTGCCTCTATGCCTGCTCTAGATGCTTTAGAAAGGTGCATATCAGGCCACTGCTACTTGCAGCACCTGCACCCAGGACTAGCAAGGCCTACTTCACTTTTTCTTAATTTTATTTTTTAAATTTTATTTACTGATTTATTTTTATGTATTTCATTTATTGTTTGGGATTTATTGAGGGTACAAAGAATTAGGTTACACTGATTGCATTTGTTAGGTAAAGTTCCTCTTATAATTGCACCCCACCCTCAAAAGGTGTGACATATACTGTGACCCCCATCCCCTCTTTGCACTTGTTCATTCCCCTACCCCCTTTTATTTTATTTTATTTTTTAATTTTGAGACAGAGCACTGTCACCTTGTGTAGAGAAGCGTGGCATCATGATAGCTCACCACAACCTCAAACTCTTGGGCTTAAATGATCCTTCTACCTCAGCCTCCTGAGTAGCTGGGACTACAGGAGTGGGCCATAATGACTGGAAGATATAGGTATATATTTGTTGAGGAGACTGCCTGACCCTTGGGAGTGTGGGGACAGCTAAGGTCAGCATGAATGGGTAGTGTGTCCAGGAGAGACAGGGTGTAGTTGTCCTAGGGATAGGAGAAGTGCAGAAGCTCAAGGCAGGGCCCCACCAAGCCTCTGCAGAAGCAAGCAGGGCCTGTCCCACAGAGGACAGAGAATGGTGGTCAGATTGGGCAGACTACGATCCTTTAGCCCCCTACCTAGGCTCACCGAGAGTGCCTTCAGTGCTCAGGACATCCAGGCTCATGAGACAGACAGACAAACTGCAGACAGGGGCAGGTGGGTACTCACAGGATTACCCTGGCGGGCCTCCATGTTGACCTGGGCTGTCCACCCTCATGCAGTTGAAGGCTCTCCACATGGTGGCAGAATTTGATGCAGAAAGTGAACACCAGGAGCTCCATATCTGTTTGGACATACACACTTGATCCTTGGAAATGACCCATCACCTCTGTCACAAACTCCTCATCCTGAGTCTCGTATAAACAGTGGAACAACTCCAGAAAGCCAGGCTGCCTGGGAAACCGCATTTCCTGGGCCTCCCACTTGGCCCACTGCAGGAGTTCCTGCTTCAGCTCTGGAGCCCGCTGGCAGGTGAAGATGCTCTCCATCTCTCTCCCCACTTGCTCACTTAAAAGGCCAAATAGGAAACACCTGGTTGGTGCCCTGACTAGGACATGCCTTTCATATGCATCTAGCAACCTCCGCACGCCTCCAATGCTGTTAGGATGTTCACTTCTCTCCTCCTCATCCCCCAGGGCACAGGACATCGCCACAAAGAATTCCTGGAAACACAAGTGGATGAAGCTATAGGTCAGGGAGGTGGGGTGCTTTTGAAGAATACGCATCTTCAAGAAAGCAGAGATGATGGGCTTATCTAACCTGTGTTTTCTGAGGTCATCTAGGCTGAAAAGGCTCTTTCCTTGCCATATGCCCTCAGCAGCCAGAGAGCAGATGCCTCTCAGCTGGTGCCTGAGGCACTGAGCTGGGATAACCTGGGAGAGATAGTGTAGGCAGAGGCCTGTGGCAGTCGTGGTGGTCAGTGTGAGATCCTCCCCACTCTCCATCTGCTGCTTCAGGCAGGTGCAGACCAGCCAGGACAGCCAGGGCACGAGACACATGGTCCAGACTGCTGGGTTTGACTCAACCAAGAAGAGAGCTCTAAGTGCTTGGCTTTCATCTGTGAAATAGTTGTAGAAATATTCCTTTCTTCCAGACTCAGAGAACCCCAGGACCTCCACCCAACGTGGCTGCTTCAAAGAAGGAATGAGCTTCTGCAAATCCACAGTCCGAGTCGTGATCAGGAAAGATGCCTCGGGAAGTATGGTTTTCCCCAGCAAACTGCCCAATAGTGCAGCCACTTCCTGTGGCTGGCTCCAGTGCAGACAGACCTCAGTACTTTGCTCCTGCAAGACCCATCTTGGTTCATCTATGCCATCAAGGATGAAGAGCAGCTGCTCTGGCCGGGACAGGACCTGCTCAAGGGGAGCTGAAGGAGCTGCCTGGGCTTTTGTGATGAGTTCAGCGAGACTTATCACATTGGACTGGGCCAGCTCTCTGCAGCTGAAGTAGAAGATGTGCTGGAAGTGGTCCTGGTATATCTGACCTTTCTCCCAGGCTTTCTGCACCTGCCTAGCCAGTGTTGACTTCCCAATTCCATCCACTCCATATAGTATGACAATGCGAGGTTCTTCTTGGGTTTCCGGGCATGGGCAAAACAAGTCTCTGATTTTAATGAAACGCCCTTTATATTTCAGCACTCTGAGATTCCATCTTTGCCTGAGCAGAGACTTTTGGTCTCTGGGGGTACATCTTTGCAGAAGTAGCAGCTGTGTGAATTTTTGGTGTAAATCCTCATTTTTCCAGGACTGTGTGAAACCTGGGTTCTTTCTTCTCTGGCTGTGGTATCTTTCTCTCATTCCTAAGGGAGGGAAACATGAAACATAAAGGTACAGAATGCATGTGTTCATTCTTCATTTATTCAACAACTGTTTTAGGCATCTACTCTCAGACCCTCAAGGCACTGACTGCAGAGATGGCTGTTCTTACCATGCAGTAGAAGGAACATGGGCTGTGGGGTGGAAGAACCCAGTTCAAGTCTTGACTGAACCAAGTCATCCTCCCTGTATGACTTTCCTTCTTCAAATGTTTATCAAGGGCTTACCATGTGTTGGGTGCTGCTCTAGGGGCTGGGAATTAAGAGTGAACAAAACAGGCACAACTTTCTGTCCTCATTAAGCCCATGACTTGGACCATTAGCTCCACTGAGCCTTGGTTTTCTCATGTGTAATTTGGGGGTTTAAGATCTCCCTGCAGGAGGTCATGCAGGGGTAAGGGAGATAATGATGGTATTGGAGATGCTGTGGGGTCCTGACAAAATCCCCTCAGCTCCCACCATTGTAATACCTGTCAACAGTGTCTTTCTGCAGCACCTGTGATAGTCTGAGGGCTCTCTTGGCCCACAAGTGGGGAGGTTGAGAAATGCTGGGAAGTTAAGACTCCAGGAGGAGTCCTTAGTGGAAAACTGGGTCCCCTGCCCCAAGGATAGACCCCTCAGTTGTGTCCCCATTCTCTCTCAGTCATCCCTGGCACAGTGTTTACAGGAATAACCTGCTCCATAGTGTACCTTTCTTGGCCTCCATAAAATACCTGCAAGCAAATCCTGTCTTAGGATCTGTTTTTGATGGATCTCAACCTGAGACAGAAAGGAAGATGCCTCTGAGCTCACAGATAGGACTGTCCCCTAGGAAGGGATCTCAGTCTCCCATCTTATATTCCAAATAAAACAATTGCTACAAACCCTTCCTTTATTTCCCTTTCTGATATTTTGAGGGCCTCTCACCTTGCTCCTTAAGGGAATTTTAGAGAGTGACTAAAGTGACTCATCTGGGATCCTAAAGTCTGGTCATCCTGGGAAATCCACTAGGCCTCCATAGTTCAAGATTACTTGTCCTACGTTTGCAGGTGTGCTAAGGAAAATTTGTGGAAAGTGGAGAAGTAGGAAGATTTTGATAAGCCATTTTGAATAAAAATACTAAGTGGCCAGGCAGTCGCTTAGCTAGACACTGAAATGGAAGATATGAAGGTTGGAGGCAGAGCAGAATTGCTCTGTGTCACAGAGAAGGAAAGAGCCAGTAAGACTGGGTACCTCATGGAGGAAGGACAAGAAAGAAGAATGCTGGCAAGGACACAGGAGGACCCTTCTTTGGGGAAAAACGTGAACAGTTTAACGTATCTGCTACAATGCCTTCAGTAGAATTTATATCATGTGCTTGAACTTAAGTGCAAGTAGATTTTTTTGTGTGTGTGTGTAGCCCTCAGAGCAGTACAAATTCTGTGCTTTGGAGTAGAAAGTGGTAGGAGGAGTGAAAAGTCAGTAGTACTATGAAGGCTTAGAGGAGGAAAATAAGACAGAGGGGTGGAGAGACTTGTTTTGTCTCACAGCAAGCTGCTGAAGTCAGTGTGAAAACTGAGGGCAGAGGAGTCTGGGCTTGTGATAATCATTGCAGGGCATAGGGGTTGAGGGTGTGTGAGAGTGGGCACTGAAGGAAGAAAATCAGAAGGGGCCAGGTGGAGGTGAAGCAGCAGCAGGCTGAGGAGGAAATCCCTATAGCAAGAATGGGTTGTTCTCGGTTCTAGCTCTTGTTCTCCCACTAAATGCTGTGTGAGCTTGCACTAATGAACTGCTCTCTCTATCCTTCTGCTTTGGGAAGAGGTGGCCACTTTGATGCTGGCATGAGAAGCAAAAGAGGAAAGGGTGTAGCCGAAGTTTGCTGAATGGGTGATTCAGGGTGTCAGAGACCAAAATAAGGAAATTCTGGTGAGGGAAGTGGGTTGGGTTAAGAAATGAGCCTTCTTGGGGCCCATCTGGAGAACAAAGTCCTCTTGAATTTCTGCACCACCCTCACCTCAAGGATCTTCAGAGTCCAAAAGATTGTGAGCTGAACTCTTGGGCAAGGATCATGCCACACATGGCACCCAGTTGGGTGAGACACACTGCCTTTCCTACGCAGGCCTCAGTTTCCCCATCTTTCAAATAGGGAGGGCTGTAAACTCAGCATTGGCAGATCCCTGAAAGGTATTTTGAGGCCTGCTGCCTCTTAACACCCCAGCCTGGATCCTTCACACTTCCTCTGCTGTCCTCTAATTCAGGCCCCCATGTAGGTACATACTCACCTAGCTGGAGATCCACTGCCTCACCTTTCCAAGGGTGTTTAGGTAATATCATTTTCCTTTCTGAGTCCTGGAGGTGTTTTATTAATGGAAAAATTTCAATGTCTGGGAACATCTTCGGCTTGGCAACACGGGTGGGCCGGCTGGGGGACATCAGGTTGGGTACACTTGGGGAGCAGAGAGATGGGTGGTCATTGGCTGTAGAAAAGAAATAGAAAGGTTGGGGATATGTCAGAGGGGCAAGGGGAGAAGCCAGAAAATGGAGGCCAGGGCTTTTCATATTAAGCAGGTCTCCTGTCTCAGCCAAGAAAGAAGCCAGGGAGAAGCCAGGGAGCCCACTGCAGCCCTCCACATCTCTGCCATTGGCTCATCTGAAGAATGAGGCTCTGATGGACACTGCTGGGGAAAAAGTACTGGTCTGGGATTCAGGAAACCTGCATATCTGTCCTTGTTCTGACCCTACTCCCTTGTATGTCACTATTCCTCTCCCATTTGGGGCTGAGGGACTCTACCTCCCAGGGCTATTCATAGTAATAACAACAGCAGCAGCACCAATAGCAGGAAGAGCTCTTATTTATTGAGCATATCTATACATCAGATTCTGTGCTGATTTACCAGGGTAAATTCACCCTGATAAACTTACCAGGGTAAGTTTTCATGGGCTTCCTCACACAGCCCAAGGAGGTGGGCTCTTAGTCTCCCATTTTATAGACAGAGAAATAAAGGTAGAGAGCAGTGAAGCGATTTGCTTAGGATGGCAGTGCCAGGACTGAAACATGCCTCTGCCTGAGTCTGTGCTCGTCACTGTACTACTGGGAAAATGCTCTGCCTGGGTGCTGGGCCTGAAGTCCATGTCCACCCTTCTAGCACCCTTTTGGATGTCTCTGCATCTCCTTCCCAGGCATGGTGAGGACCACAAGGGTGGGGGAAATGCACTTGAATAGAAGAGGGTGTAGGGCTCTGGGACCTGAACTCCATCCTAGTCTTTGTCAGGTTGGTCCCAAGTCATTGCCCAACAGCAGACCTGGCAGGGAGGGTGCAGTAGGTCCCAGGGGGGATAAGCAGGGTCCAGGAGGACTACACCAGCCAGAGGGGCCCTTTGTCTACTCACCTGACAATGAGCCCACCTCTGCCTGGGCCTGGGCATGGAGTGAGCGCAGGGCCAGGTCCCAGGCCTGCTGTTGACCATACTGAGCCACCAGGTGTGAGGCCATCTCCATGCCACTCATCTTCTCTGGTGGAACAGCTGCTTCACTGGACAGCCGAAGCTGGAACTCCTTCAGCTCCTCCTTCTTCAATAGCTCCAAGTAATTGCCCAGCTGCTGCTGGCCTCTGCTGGCCATCTCTGGCAAAAGTAGGGGAATAGGAGATGTTCAGTGGGGGGAGGAAGTGAAGGGGTGAGGGGTGTCAGATAGGCAGAGAATAATTCTTTCCTTTGCCTTGGTTAGACCATCTCCCATTGTGATCTCATTGGGATCATTGCTTTTGATGTGGTAAACTATTCAGCATTCACACTGAGTTTTGTAAGCCCCAGGGCATCTGGTGGTAAATGGTGTTGGGAGTGGCGGGGCGGGGTGGGGGGGAGGCTAGTGTTATGAAAGTCATGGGATGGAGGATCTTGGAGGGGACTGAGGAATACTTGAAGAAATCAGGTTATGTGGGGGTCTAGGGTGGGGCCCAGGGCTTGTCAGGGAGGATAATGAAAGTGGGGATAGGGAGGCAGGGGATGGTGGTGTGGGTGGCACTCATGGTTATATGTACTTCAGATTCTTCCCTTTCCTGGGCCCTGGCCTTGTAGGATTAATCTTTGAGCTGTAAGACTGGCAGGAGGTGGGCTAGAGGAGAGACAAGGCAGGAGGTGGCTTTCTGGTCCACGGTCTTTTCAGATCTCTCCTGGCCCTGGCATACCAACTAGTGAAAAAAGCCCTGGATCAGCCAGAGCAGGTAGAAAAAGCCACCCACACGAAACCCATGGCCAAGGAAGAGAGGGTCCTCATACAGTCGTGGTAGAGCAGAGGCTCAGAGCCAGATATCCAGACAGGCAATACCCACAACACACACTGGCCTATTGCCCAGACCCTGCCGGCAGAGCCAAGGCGCACACTTTCCTGGCAGGTGGCTGTGGGTCCCAGGCTCAGGCTTTCAAAGTGTTTTGGGTCCCCATGTCTGCCGGGGCAGCTCCTTAGGAAACATAAGAACCAGACCAGGGAGCATCCTTCCCAGGCTGTCATGGTTTTGGGGGCTTCCTGAGCCCCAGTGCTCATCCCGCTTCGAGGGGCCCTAAAAAGTGTGTCCCAGGCCTGGTGCTATGTGCTTTGTGAACAGTCTGGCACTCAGCTAGTAAGGATTTCTACCTGAAAGTGGAACAGTCTTCGGCTCATTATCATGGAAAGCTAGGCAAAGCAGGGGTTGCAGTCTCCATGCTAAGGATGACTTTACCCAACTTGTTTTCTGTTGTATAGTAAAAAGCACCAGGGGTTTCTGGAGATGTCCTGATTTGACCTGGGCTGGTGGATCTAGGCTGCAGCCTGTGGCTTATGTGGACATTTCCTCCTTGTTGGCTGAGTCACTTCTCTGAGCCTCAGTTTGCTTATCTGCTAAGTGGGACATCCTATGATGTCCAAGTTTTGCCAAGAGACTCAAATTCAACAAAAGCTCTTAGTAATCACTAAATATATTGGATAAGTGTTAGTTTTTCTTAATGGCAGATAAACACATTGTAGGACAATCTAGCATAAGACTTACCTGAAGGAGAAAGCCCTGTGCTAAAATCCAGAGGAGTCTGAGTGCTTCATGAAGGACCCTGGGACCCCATATGATGGGAGGAATGTCCAGGGGAGGAATGTGAAGGCTGTTTTTTTCCCTCCTGACACCAACCAGCTCTGTGGGGTCTGATGCCAACGCTCTGAGCACCAATCAGAGGTACCACAATTCAATTCACTTCTGATACTGAAGGCCTGGAGTTGGCATCAGACCCTACAGGCTTAAGATTCAGTTTCACAAAACTGCCCTCACTTTAGATGTTAGTGGTAAATGGGGTTCCCAGACCACTTACACTTCTGTCTGGCTTGGTGACAATATCAAGGGTTCCCATAGTCCCCCTCGGATTCAATAATTTGTTAGAACAACTCACAGGACTCAGGACAGCATCTTACTATTACTGGTTTATGATAAGGATCCAACTCAGGAACAGCCAAATGGAAGGAGATGTGTGATGGGGCAAGGATGCCTGGGGGAGGGGTACAGAGCTTCTTTGCCCTCTCTAGGAACACCTCCTTCCCTGCACCTCTGCCTGTTCCCTACCTGGGAGCTCCTCAGACCCCAAACAAATGAAACTGTGTGGGTTCTTATGGAAATTTCACCCACTGGCCATGGGTGATCGACTCAACTTTTAGCCCCTCTCCCCTTCCTAGAGGTTCTGAGGTGGGGTGATTGTTCCAACCCTCTAATTCTGCCTTGAGCTTTCTGATGATCAGCCCCCATCCTGAAGCTGTTTGGGAGCCCCCAGCCACCAGACATCTCAGTAGTGTGCAGAAGATACTCAGCGCTCTATTGAGTCCAGAGGTTTTAGGAGTTATGTGCCAGGATTGGAGGCAAAGACTGAATACATCATTTATCTTTTATTATATCATATGAGGTCCCTAGCATTCTGAATATGTGAGAGATTCCAAATCTAGAGACCAAAACCAAGGCCAGGTAGAAGGAATCTTCCCTAGTGCATGCACCTGGCTACAGCCCCAGTCATGCAGAATCCTTAGCTGCCCACTCACCAGTCCATAGTTGTCTGACCTGTGGACATAAACATGTGAGCCTTTGTGCCTCTAAGCTATCTGATGTGGAGTACAGGAATCCTGTACTAAACTATCAGTTTTGGGCATGCTGAGATTGAAGGCCAGTGGAAAGGGGTGTGGAGGCCCAGTGGAAAGGGGTGTGGAGGTCCAGAGAAGTAAGGAGACCTGGTCAGATCACAGCACAGGTCAGTGTCCAAGGGCTCTTCCTCTTCTAGTCCACTCTATTTAGTTCTAGGTCAGCAGGATTCAGAGGGAAGAAACATGGAATTTGGAGTCAGATAGTATAGTTTTGCCTTTTGCAGTTTTGCAGTCTGGGGCAAGTCCTTTAACTTGTGAGGCCTTCTTAGGTTGGCCAAGCTAGAAGCCATTCTATGAGACTCTGTTACAGGTGGTCATAAATCAGATAAGAGAGACATGCTAGATAGAGAATTATGGGAAGATGGCTGACTGGTAGCAACCCTTGTCAGAGGCTCCTGAGCAGAGGAAGAAAAACTGGATGGAATCAGACTCTATGAAGCCAAAGATGGGAAGCGGAGCTAAGAAGAAAGTTTGGAAAGCTGTAATTCCAAGGAAGAGCATTCAAGAAAACAAATTATAAGTACAAATCCTATTGACTAGAGGATGGGAGACCCCTTCCTCAAGCAGGAGGCCTACCACAGGCTATCTATGAACTAGCAGGAACAAAACACCTCTCATTTTACCTGGCTGGAGAGAGCCATTAAACTCCAGGTCTCCTTCTCCAGGGAGGTCCCACTTATGAACCTAGACATCACCCTGCCAGGCATAAAATTGAACAGATATTTTTCCCCACAAGTTCAAACTTCCAGTCCACCCTTTCCCCTTTGCATGGCACTCTGAAGTTCTGCCCCCTGCAGAGCATAGAGTGTTTGGTCTTGTCCTGAGAGACCTGGGCATAGTGTGGACCACCAACCATTAGGATGGAATCTGTGACTAATGGGGAAGAAAAAGGGTGTGGGAAGAAAGGGATACTCAGCAGCAGGAGGAGCAGTCCCCTGGATATGACTGTGCCTGGCCAGTGGTAGTGTTGACTTTGGTTCGGGCTGTGTCTGATGGTACAGGGGGCAGAACCCCCAGCTCTGATAGCACTGACAGCAGGAGAGTGGTTGCCCTGTGTGGACTGAGTTTGGCAGATAGGGCTAGTCCCTGCTGGACCTTTGAGCAGAGGCTTGATAAGCGTGGACTCCTACTTGAGAGCATGGGTGTAGTCTACTGATTCCAACCAAACCCTTGAGCAGTGGCTTACTGGGTGTGAAGCAAGCCCTGAGGGCTAGGGTGTGCTCCACTGCCTCTAGTGGGGCTGGGGAGCAGAGGCTTACCAGGTGAGGACTGAGACCTGTGGGTGTGGTGCCCTGACTGTAACAGAGCCTGTGAACAGAGGCTTGCCAGGCAGTGGACTCTCAGTTTGGCAGGTGGGGCATGGTCCCCTGACTCCAACTGGTCTGACAAGCAGAGGCTAGCTGTGTATGGACTGAGACCAGAGGGCAGGCCCGGTGCCCTGACTCCAACAGAGCCTGCAGATAGAGGCTTGTCAGGCAGTAGACTGAGACTGGCAAGGGGGTGTGTGGTCCCCTGACTCCAACTGGTCTGGCAAGCACTACTCCAGACCCTACTCCAGAGGCTAGCTTTGTGTGGACTGAGACTGGTGGGCGGGGGTGTTGCCCTGGTTCCAGCTGAGCCTGTGAGCAGAGAAGCAGACAATAGTGTGGACTGGGTCTGGCGGGTGAGAGTGTGGATTCCTGGCTTCAATTGTGTTTTGAATCCCTTTGCTTTGAATTGTCCTTGAATCCCTCTGCGTTGGGTAGGGTTTTGACTGCCAAAGACAGTTTGGTTGGAGCCCATGTCTGGGACTGTCAACTCTGGGACATTCTGAGGTTGACTTTTGAAGTTCTATAGTGGAAAAGAACTGAAGGGTTGGGGCTGGGTGCTGCAGCTGTTTGTATTTCTTCACTGTCGAAATTTAAATCTAATAGTGTGGTTTCTTAAGATAGGTCAGAGGTTGGCTGATATCAAAACAACCTGCACTATCTCATCAAGTAGGTCCCCAGAGTCTCTGGCCAAAACTCTGAAAGGGGCTTTTGTAAGGTTATAGGAAATAACCCACAATTACAAAGCCTAGAGCTTTGGTAAGGGGCTATCTCTACTACCAGAGAACCCCAATTCAATCTCACCTTACCACTTCTGATAGCCAAACAGTGGGAAATAAACATGGTGTGGACCCAACAGAAGAACTCTGGCAACATGAATAACCAGAGTAGATCAACCCCCACCCCCAAGAAATGACAAAGGAGATACAACTGAAGATGCCATGCATAGACAAATGGCAGCAATGTCAGAAACTGAATTTAGAATATGGATTGCAAATAAGATAAATAGAATGGAAGTAAAGATGGAAATTGAATTCCAAAGAGTAGTTCCAAAGTTGTTTCAAGAAATTAATGAATTCAAAGCCCAAGTCACCAAAGATATGGACATAATGAGAAAAGAGATAGAAGAACTTGAGGAAATGAAAAAGTTAGTTGAGGAGCTCCAAA